TGCACCAAATTTCAATTGGAGACTTTTATGAAAGGTAAACAACTTTCATCAATCGCTTTTATTAGATCATTGCATTACACATTTGAGGTTATTAATGAAAATACTACAATAATCTAAGATATGATTACTACTAACCTTATAAGGGATTGAAGTAAAAGGGTACCAAAATACCACTTCTACTTGTGTTCATCCCGCAAGAAAAGATTTCCCATTTTTTGGAAACAAAATCATACATAGTGGAATTGTGGTTTCTCCACACACCCAAACATCACATACACGGACCCAGGCACACACAAACCTTCCTCCAATCCCCCAGACCCCATTAACAGCTCTAGATTTTGTGCCACCACGACCGCCAATTGGTTACTCTCTCTCTATTGGATTCTTATTTTTCACACCACCGCCCTCCATCTAAGCCCAATACCACCAATGCCATAAACCACAAACGTCTGCCATCACCGGATGCAAGAAGTTTTCGTATGTGTTGCAATGTAGTTTGAGCTTTTTTCATCATATCTTCCTTTGGTCTTGAATTTTTTTAAGCATCTTAATCATAGATGTGTCGTACCCCAATTTCCACAAATAGACATGAACAAACTAGGAGATCATACTAAATAACTTCAATGTAAAACAACCATCATTCAACTTCAATAAGCTAAAATCCCAAAATATAAAAATCATATTTTAAGTTACATCCAAAACCTCATGTAAATAAGACAATTCCATAACTAGCTAAACAAAGTTAATAAGTTTTTCCAATGCGATCATCAAAACAAAACTAACATCCCAAGTTACTTGCTCACTTATGTCTGTATCATCTTCAATGCCTAAAATTAAAAAATATTAAAGGAAGGGGTGAGCAAAATAAGTTCAGTAGAAAATCTTTCCCAAATCTAAGCAAGGTTTATAGAATTTGTATAAAAATAAGTAGGTCTCAGATTTAAAAAAATAATATGTAGTTTTGGAAATAAAACATGTGACATTGTAACGATTTCAAGTTTACGATTGCTTAAACAGTAAAATTCATAGCATGATACAATAATACAATAACAATTCATAATACAATAATATCTCATTTGCGCATGTTAATTAGCATAAATCTATACGCTCAATATATTTGGTCCATCCGACCACAAATACAGATCATTCAATCAATCTCCACAGGGTCACAACACTTTAAGAAGTGCATTTACTGATGCATTAGCATTAGCGTAACCTTTCTAGGATTAGTATACTAGCCCTCAGCCTCAATCACGAAGAACAAATAGTAGTTTAAAACCCCGCAAGGAACTAACTCTACTATGAATGATAGGAAACCTTCAAATCCCTCGATGTAAGTCGATTGACCACCATTTTGGAGCAAGTTGACCACCTTTCAAAGTCGGTCGGCCGAAGCTCCAAGTCGGTCAACTAGCTAAGTCCTCTTCCCCATAACTTTTCAACTTTGGGCGATCGACAATTCTTTTTGCCTAATTTTCCTTTTAATTGTAGTTCCTAACCTGTGAATTTACCATTTTCCCTCCAACGCTTCAATTTCATCCTAACATGTACCCCCAAGTCCTTTCAGTGTTCCAAACTCAATAACACTTCTATTTAATTAAAAAAATATCTAAAGTGATCACATTTTGGTATTTAGTTCAAGTAAATTAAGCTAGGGGTTTACATTTGAAGTTGAAGATTTGAAGCCTACTAAAACCGGATATGGAAGAAGTTGGCTGGAAAGTTGTAATCGTCAACTGACCCCAATCATCAACTGTTCAGAATCACCCTACATGTTGTGCACATGCCAACAACTGCTCAGAACTGCCACCACATGCTATGCACATGCCTCAAATGCTCGAAACCACCACACATGATGGGCACATGTCATCCTTGTTAGTCCACAACACTTGATTTCCCTTGCTTGTGTGCCAAGTCATGCCAGCTCCATGACTTGGTCTTCTAAGCTTACAATGCACCCTTATTAGAGCCTACCGACTAAGCCTTGCTTGTTTGCTTGTACCCAACGTGCCCATGCATGTGTCGTCTCCCTTAGCCATGCTTGTTGCTTTCACCAACGATAGGTCTTATTGATCATCGGCCCCATATTTCTCGGATCTCAGACTTTGCATGTCTTGCCCATACCTATGGTAAGTATTCTTGGGGTCGTGCCTTGCTTTGGCGTGCCAAGGCTAGGGAGCATGAGGTTTCTTGCCAGCCTGACATCTCTACCCCCTATAATTTTATTAGGAAACAATTTCCTAGTAGTAGCAACAAACATTATCTGACCAAGGATTCATAATGACGAGAACTTGGGGCATAGTCAATGCATACTACCCTAAAATATTTGTCAAACACCTTTGATACCCGATCAAGTACATAATCAAGGTCATAAGAAGTCATCCTTGCACAAAGGGGGTGCTTAGCAAAGCACACTCCCACCTTGGCTCAGGCATAGGGCACCCCTGGGGGAGGCACCCGCATGTCATAGCCATGTCAACCAACTAAGGGGGTAACAATTAACAACGAGGGAGTAGATGATTTTGCTTTATATTATTTGCACTTTTTGATGTAGGTTGCATTTTTCAGACTAATCGATTGGAGTGTGATGTTGAAGGTTTGAATTGTTCTTTGGACATTATTGTATCAGAGGTTAGTTCCCCACGAACAAGCATGATTTGAGAAATCTGTGGCAAAAGAAGATATTGCGAAGTTTATAGTATACCTATATCTTTGGTTACGTTTGTGAAAATAACTGCAAGATTTCATTTCTTAAGCAACTCATTTGTTTGCACTTGGGAGTTAGTTTTTACCTTCTTATGCTTTGATGGCCACCATTAGTCATTGTGACTACGTGAAGTTTTTGCTATGTATTGTTTGGTATGATGAAAAATTGGAAGAATAAATAAAATATCTGTTTAGTAACAAAAGAAAATAGAAATGATACAAAAGTAGATGTATTAGTCTTTCTTAAAACTCACTAAAATCTATCCCTCCAAAATTGAGAATACAAGTGGATAAAAAAGTAATTGTGTTAAAGTATATGTTATTTATCTTTATACTTTTTAATATCTGTATAATAAAGTAGAATACATTTTGAATTTCAAACATAAGAAACGACTCAGATCATTTCGTAATAAATAAAATGATCATCCGATAGATGACTTTACTCTAATATGAAAAACAGTTCAAATTATTTTAAAATTTATTGATCTGACGAATTATAATGAGTTTTAAAATTTCTCCCACTAAAAAAAAATATTTTTAATTACTATCGGTCACGACCATAAATTTCTAAATTTGGAATTCCTTAATCCCTAAAATCACTTCCCTTTCTTTGCGTAATCATCCACCAAATTAACCCTCAAAAGATTAATCCGCCTAAAATTTTTAATTTTTGGGATTAATTACAATTTGCCCTCTCCAATTATGTCCCTTATTATAACCAACTCCCTATAGTTTTAAATGTTGCAATTTGTCCCCTCTGAGTTTTAAGTGGACCAAATTGACTAACAAAAGTAGCTAAAATATGAAACTAATATTACACTCTCCATCTTATATATTTTTTTCATGAGATACTAATTTTATCTCTAAAAAAATAAGAAAATAAAAAAGTCAAGATATACTTCTACATTCTCCGAAACTCTCTTGATCTCCCTCCTTGTGTCTTCTCTAGCAACTTGTGCTAGGTAGGTGGGTGCGAAATGCTTGCTTAGCACTTCAAGGGAGCTTGCCAGTATGTAATGTGACACAGTAGCTTCAAAAGTGCAAGCCCGTGACAAGTGGCTTAATTGTATAGGATGACAAAATTGGAGTTATAAGAATGTTGTATTAGTCTAAACCTTTATCTTTTTGTTCTGTTTCTAAATTTTGTTCTGATTCCAAATGAACGGGATAAAAATGTAAAGCAGAAAAAGCAAACAACCCCCCTTTTCTCTCTTTTGTTTTTACATGAGTTACATATTCTGAATGAAATGATTATGTAAATGACTAATAAGCCATAAATTGTAGTATGAATTACCAACTGTTATTATTCAAACAACTTATATGAGATTATTCTATTATGACCTTTGAAACAAGATTTTAGGTCACACAATGATCCACCACTCTGCAAGCAAGACTAAAATTAAGTATATATGACCCTCGCCAAAAGCGCATTGAGCTATCCTCATTTTTTAAATTGTTGTATAGTAAAGACCCAGCCCATTCAAATCAAATCAAAATAGAACAAGCACCTACAACTAAGGAGAATGGTATGTCGACCAGAGGATGAGATAATCTTTTAATACGGAGGCGAGTGACTCTTCCTTCACGAGCTCTAACACCAGACATTCAATTCAATAAAGAAATTCATACAAGAAATTGTAACTTTTCCCCCTGCCTACGGTTCAGTGTATCCCAGACTACTTCAAGGCTGTAAAATGTCCCCCCAAATTCTTATCTCTTAATGGGCATCTGGCTTTTACCCCTATTTTCCTCGCCTCTTTCGTAGAGTTTGAAAACTAAATTAACACTTAAATTTAGAAAAAGGTGGCCGATTTATGCTCCGAATCGCTAGGGTTTAGCAGATAAAAATTTTGGTCTTTTTTCAGAGGGTTAATAACATTGACTACAAGTCTACAACGGTCAGAAACAGATCCACGACCTGTTATTTGGCGTGGTAATTTGGATATCCCATATGCCACATGATCCATAAGAACTATCGACCTAAACGCCAAAAGCATTAGAATGTGCTGATTTTCCATCTTCCCTTAAAGATGATCCTGAGGACTGCTCAGCCCACAAGATGGCCAGAAAAAACACAAAGATTGGTATGGAATATATTTGAAAAACCATGTTAGAAATGTAAGAATCCAATCTGGTATACTTCATGAAGCATCAACAATCTATTCAAATGATCGACGGTGGACAGAAAGCTCATCTCTTTGAAGCTTGGCCTGGAAGAGGGAAATTTCATCTATTGAATCTCTATTACCAAGCGCCCTTAAATGGGGAAAATGGGATATGGCCTGGCTGGTAGTTTAATTACTTCCAGTAGAACAGAGTTCATAGGCAAGCTTGACTACTCCCCACATGTTTGCATCATTCTGCAAGTAACAATATAGCAAAGTGGTCATAATAGCACATAATGTGTATGAGCAGTGGAGATATTCCAGTAACTGCCATAAGGACAATCCATTTTCTCTGAAAACCCCCTTTCTCCCCCTCCCTCCACCAAAATCCACCACCCACCAAAAAAAAAAATCCCCCCATAAAAGGGTACCACAACACGCACATATAACAGGGTGAAGAAAGAATGCCTTCAGGCCCTCTTTTCAGTGCAGGTCTTTTCCCGCCTTTATGAATTCTCACAATATAGTTACAAAGGCAGGAATTCCATGAGCCTCTAGCTTATACCATATGAAGTTATTGGTTTACTTATTTTTTGCAACACAGTACCATATGCTAAAATGGACCAATAAGATACCCGAGGGGCAAAAGTAACCTGACAATTTATTGGTACCATTTATACACATTGTTTGTCTGTGTATGAGATGTCTCGGGGATGTAAGTCCTCACTTGCATCTGATAAAATCCTGATCATGCTAACCAGTTGTAGTATTGTAGTTGGTAAAAACCTATTTTAAAAAGACCAACTCCGAGGCACCTCAAAAAATCAAACAAGGGAAACAAAAAATCATCCTTTTAAGCCATTTTACTCACCACATAAACAACATCAAAGGCTTTCCGGAAGCTATCAAGAGAGTTCTCAATGTTGTCATTCCTGGAAAAGCAATAGACACAATCAATCAATTTGTAAATCAATTTACCCATCATCACACTGGCATTTATTAAGCACAACAAACAAGGAACAAGCAGGTTTGACTTATGTTTCAGGAAGCATGAAAAAAGTTTGCAAGACGCATTTGTAATCCAACATGACAGAATAAATTAAAAGCATATTTTTGGTGCAGTTCCAAATAATTCTTTATTTACAATTCTCCACTAAATTTCATGCCATTATCCCAAAGATTTTTGACTACATCTTAAGATGTAGAATAGCCACCAGACAAGCCAATTTGCTGGACTATTTGCCAGTAAACTAGTACAACGTTTTTAAATTTTGTTTGCATATTTGACTAGACTTGTAACTGCTTAAATGAAAATGAGAAAACAGAATTAGGCAGGCACTTATCCCAATACTAATCACTACCAACACAGTTGCCACCTTTGAGTTATTATGAATTTCCTTTCTAAAGCTTTAGAAAACATATCAGCCAAGACAAATAGTAATTCTTCAATGAAGTACTTCCCCTTCCTACAAGCAAATGGTGTGTTAAGCTTATGCATGGTTATTTGTATTTCTAGCAGCTGCTACAGAGGACAATTTTCATTTTATTTTTTATGTGGAAGGGAATGAACCTGGGTACACACTACACAGTCAGTATATACAAACAACCATGAAATAAGCTCCTCCTCGAACAAATCTTAAGTCACCCACATAAATCTCAAACAGAGTATTCAGGGTCACTTGCTTCATCATATAATTTATAAGTCCACATGCTAAAAAATGTGCTCATTCCACTCCATGATAGGTGAAAGGGAGCTGTTTCTAAGTCTGCATCTCTTTGGCAAGCACAGGCAGCCTGATAGCATCTCAAGACCCAACCTTGGCATGATCATCAACAACAGAGCAAACAGCATGCCCACAGGTCTTTTACAACCCCAGAATACGTAATACTTTCAAACCCAGCCCATTGCAAACTGTAAATTTGCAACTCCGAATACAAAAAGCCATAGTTGGAAATACCCTCTCCAATGGTTTGTGCCAAAAAACATGTCATTTTATTTTTTTTTTTTTTTTTTTGTGAAAACCCACCGTTTTTTTTGCCTGTCCTGCCAACTTCACCATAACCGGCTACAAATGCACCACAGGATGGTTTCTTGCCTACCTTGTGCAATCCACCACAAACTGCAGCAATGATCTTACACGTCTGGTCACAGACGGAGGGAGGGTAAGGTTGAGTGAGCGTTCCTATAATCTATATATTTCCCATGTCTAATTAAATAGCAAGCATGGAACCATAATGTCTTACTGCCATCTTGGATATAATGAAAGCATACAATAATAAATACGAATCTATATTACCCTAGTTTTACAAGCACTTGTATAGAGACAAGAGTTCCTTCTAGACATGATGAGCTAAGGAAGCAACGACAAGTATCAAGGAACAAATAGGAGGTTTATCTACTGAAAAATTCAGAAAGGAAAAGTTAAACAGAGTATCAGGAAAAATACCAAATTTCCTCGGTGCAATTGGAAAATTACAACTCATGAAGAGAATCTTGGCTTTGGGTGCTTTCTAGAAGAACCTTCCATGGATCTTGAGCCTGTGGCCGACCAAGGCTCATGCCCAAGTGTTCTCGCCTATGCTTTCAACAACAATAGACTTCTATTCTAAACAGATGGAAGAAACGAAGGCATGTTCTGGCAAATGTGAAATAGAGATAACAGGTTACTCGAATCTCTTGGAGGATTTAAGGTGTCCTGAGAGGGGCAAGAGAATATATATCTTTGACCTCTTCAACAAACAAAAGAAGGCCTTTCATTGGCTGGTTTACACAAGCATTACAGTTGGAACTTTAACTAGCATAGTCTAGTGGAACTGCAGTCAGTTCACATGGTTTTGGGGGTAAATACTGTTTGTTTTGTAAACAATATTAAATAAGGCAGTTTCATGAAGCAACCATCATGGAAATTGTCCAAACTGGATTCAGACCAGGTTGAGGATGAAGAAATTTCAATCTTTTGCTGTGGGTTGGGCTACAAAAAGCTCATACTCAAAAGGTGACTCCTTTTTCTTTTATGCTTCTTTGAAGATGCAACCCCAATCTGTAAGCCTTTTACTGTATCACCCTACATCAGCAATGGTCAGAATAGCTTCTAGCATGCCATTGATGGCAAAAGGGTTCATCTTGGACAAGATTTTCAGCTTTGATGCTCCTCCAAGGGAAACCCAAACCACCCCCTTCCAGAACTGGAGTCTTCATTAAACAATCCAAGCAAGCAAGCTCCTAATCAGCATTGCCCTGATAAACCAAGGTTCCACACCACTCTGTCTCCACTATCGAACATAGTCTGCTCTAAGAGCTTCCTTGCTGATGAGATCAGGGAACTCAAAAAATCATACCACACAATTCTTCATACCAAGAAATTTGCAGTCTAACCATCTCCTATGGAATAGCAAACCCCATCCTGTTTTAGTTTCTCACATCTCTTGATCTCCTCCCCTACTATTTTGCAGATTTCCTATGCTACCTAATCCAAGTTATTATATCCCATGGCATACCTGCATAGCCACATACCTTGTATAGTCAGGTTAGTTTTCCTAAGGTATTTAATTCCTAAAATGACCTTATTTTGAATCCTCTCCCAACCCTCTCAAATATAAAACCTTCAGGAGCTTCTCCAAGCTGTCAGCCAGTGGAATTATAGAATTGGACATGTGATAAGTGGAGAGGGTAGAAAGATGATTTTGCTTCTAAGAGAATGTCTCTGCTCCATAGGAGATACTGCTTTGTCTACTTAATTATTATACTTTCAAAGCCTCCACCTGCGATTCTGCAATCCCCTTCAAACTATCATCACGAAACACAACAGGGTGAGATTACAAGAGGACTGCACCTAAAACACCAAGTGACAACCCTATCAAGTTATTACCTTCCCCAGTTGTAGCAAGCATCCAACAGAAAGAGTTCGTAAGTAGCATGAAAGGCAAGGGAGACATCTGCATAAAAAACTCCTAGAAAAACCAATCAAGAAGAGATTTATTATAACGGTTTAGACACACATCCATCTAACTTCTCAACTTTGCCCCTGAGTCCACAAATTCGATCATAGAGATGGAAATCTTTCAAAACACATAATCATAAGAATCTTAACATTCAATTTACACCCAATCCTTGACTCATGGTTCAAGGTCGCAGTATCAGCCATTGACTGGAAGAGTTTTGAAACACATCGGTTACAGCGTTGCGGCACGGTATCGGGCGATATTGACCTAAAAAAATGTTAAACATGACTATAAATTTAGGATACACCGCGGCGTCGCGGAATCGTACCAGCCGATTCGGTAACGATAACTCGACAACTCGGGATTGACTCGAATACAATTCAGCCAATTCGGTTGAGTCATGGAAGACTTGGGGTTTATACGTATCGTATAACGGTATCGTCTCGAAAAATGCCGAGTCGGATACAACTCGGCCAACTCGTATCGATACTTTGAACCATGCCTTGACTCCTCACTGCGATAGAGTCATTAGACATGAGGATCGCACTAAAGACATGCCTAACCCTAGCATAAGTATTTTAAATTAGTTGCTGGACCAAAACATTCATGACTTCAATCAAATTGCCAGCATTTTGTAAATATTCCACATCCCCCCTTATACATCCTCCATCCTCCACCCTCCCCACCTTCCATCCATCAAGCCCCAAGGGATGTAAGATTAAATCTTCTATGAGCATGCACAAAGTAATGAAAGAACTTAGCATTCTTACCTGCTTCCTTTATCCTATAGCCTAGAACATTGTCTCCAGCCTTCAGTCTTCCCCCTCTTCTCTGTTGGACACCTTTTCCGCCACAAACCAGTACCTTATTTAATGTCTAATTACTTGGTTTCTTCTTAAACCATCACTTGAGCCCCCCTAAATCTCCACTCTTCCCCCTCTTCTCTCTTGGACACCTTTTCCGCCACAAACCAGTACCTTATTTAACGTCTAATTACTTGGTTTCTTCTTAAACCATCACTTGAGCCCCCCTAAATCTCCACGCGGCTCCATTCCACCTTTTTTGTGCTACTTCTGGCGGTTTTAGGTTTTCTGGAAAGGATCATATCTGCATTTTATACTCCCTTTCCCAACTCCCTTCAAGCCCCTGAATAATTCACTTCATCCCCCTATTGCCAAAATGAAATGATCCCTTATTCACAGCATCCCTTCAATATTTCCCTCCCCAAGCCAACAAAAAAAAAAGAAGTAAAAGAGAGAACAAACATAGTGCTTATTAAAACTATCACAATGTTAACCTGTTTCCAAATCCATCAGCCACTTCATATATCACCATTCAAGTGATTAGTCACATGATTCCATCCAAGGGAAGAAGATATTCCTAACAGGGTATTAAGTTGAATGCCTAACCATATTTTAGAAACATACTTCAATATTCCCATAGTACCCATGTACCCCTGTCCAACACAAGTACTTAGCCGCATACACTTCTCTCATAAATCACAGCTAAAAGTCAGCACTTACAGTTGGGATGCCTGATTTCCTCAGCAAATTCTCGTTACAATGCTGGGGAAATAGATATGTTCCCAAATAATGGAGATGATATTCCTACTTTGGTTTCTACAGTTTCTCTAGAACTTTTAAGTAAACTGTGCGGTTCAAAAAAAAAAAGAGTAAACTTTGAATCTGTTGAATCCTTTTCAAAAAACGATAGCTTAAACTAAAAATTTTATAGACCGAATAAGAGAGTTTGTTTAAAGGAATAAAGCATAAAAGTCCAACCTCAAATGAATAATTCCACTTTCCCATACAAACTAAATCTGCTTTCAACTAATAAGCAAAAATTATACTTAAGATTTAAATAGTTTCAAAGTGTTATAATGTAATTATCAAGCCATAAACACATGCTAAATAACTCAATCCAATCATCTCTGTCATTTGTTCTTCAAATTGTCATGCTAACCTATTAAAAGCAATGGTGGCAGTGTGCAGAGTCTGCAGACTACATTCTTGTGTTCACTTCATCTTACTTTCAGTGTCATGTCCCAAATTTTCAAGTGCATTCTTCAGCAGTTCAAATACTATTAACAAATGCAACAATTTCATTTAGGGAACCGCTTAAAGTTTATAACTGCTCGTTTGAAACCATTTATGTGCACATGTGCATAGGTAAGCAACTTGAAGATAATTCCGATCTTGTGAGGTATAAATTGTTGGAGCATCCAACCCAAAACTAATTGACAATGACAAGAGAGGTCAGTTAAGCATATAAACCAATCTTGGATGGTTCTAGTCACTCAATGTGAGATGCAACCTCTCGTTACAATCTCGCTCATGTTGCACAAGGGCTCACACGTGGGGCTAACAAACATGCATACCAGGAAATTCAGTTGAGTAAGAGACTTGACCCACATACGACTTAAGACCCAACTCTTATACCATGTTAGGGCATCCAACCCAAAACCAATTGAGAATAAGTGGAGAAGCTCCTAAATTCCATGTAGGGTGCAACCTCTTTTTACATGAACTTGACTACAAGACCCTTCAAAAATGCATC